TAACCCGCCTGTCTTCTGGTGTGGATGCTTTGCCCCAAAGTTTGGTGTCATCGGCAAACTTGGCCAGTCGGCTTCTGACTCCAATGTCCACATCATTAATGAAGATGTTGAACAATATGGGTCCAAGGACAGAGCCTTGGGGGACCCCACTGGTCACAGGACACCACAACGATTGACTTCCGTCAATTACTACCCTCTGGGTCCAACCCTGGAGCCAATTTCCCAGCCAGCAGATCGTGGTGGACCCAAGGCCACAATTGGCCAGTTTTGCCAAGAGGTAATCATGGGATACCAGATTGAAGACTTTTTTGAAGTCAAGATATATGACATCAATCTCTTCTCCCTTGTCCAGGTGATAGGTCACCTGGTCGTAGAAAGAGATAAGATTGGCCAAGCAAGACTTACCCGCAACAAACCTGTGCTGGCTATCCCCGGCTAGAATGTTGGTGTCGGCCAGTCCATTAAGGATGGCCTCTTTTAATAAACTTTCCTAAGACCGTCCCCGGGATAGAGGTCAGGCTGATGGGCCTGTAGTTTGCCGGATCCACTTTGATTCTTTCTTGAAGATAGGCAACACACTGGCCTTCTTCCAGTCTTCGGGCACTTCACCAGAGCACCAGGAGTTCTCAAAGATCCGTGTCAGGGGCTGGGCTATGATGCTTGCCAGCTTCTTGAGTACCCTGGGGTGTAGATTGTCAGGGTCAGCTGACTTGAAGGTATTCAGCCTCTCAAGGTGTTCCTTCATGAGGTCAGCATTGATGGAGGGCAGGGGATTTCCCTTGCCCGGACCTCCCTGTCAGTAGTGGGCATGGGTGTCCCATGGGACTGATGAAAGACCAATGCAAAGTGCCCATTTAATAGGTTGGCTTTTTCCTGGGCGTCAGTTGCCAGTTGTCCCATCTGGTTTAGCAGGGGTCCAATGTTGCCCTTGCTTTTCCTCCAGCTCCCCACATATCTGAAAAAAGGACTTTTTATTGTCCTTGATACTGAAAGCTAGTTGGAGTTCAGTTGCAGCCTTGGCTTTCCTGGTTTGCTCCCTGCAGGACCGGACCAGCGCAGATTATTCCTCCTTGGAGGTGAATCCTGTCCTCCATCCTTTGTAGGCCTCTCTTTTTAGCCTCAGGAGGTCTGCTAGGTCCCTGGAGAGCCAGGGGAGCTGCTGTGCCCTCTTGCTGCCTTTCCTCCGAGATGGAATAGAGTTGGCTTGTGCATTGAGGATCGCTCCCTTGAGGAGCAACCACTCTTCCTGAACTCCCCTCTCCCTGGAGTCGTGGTCCCTTAGGGCCTCACTGACAAGCCTCCTGAGCTTGTCAAAGTCAGCTTTCCTGAAGTCAAGGACTTCCGTGTTGCTGACTGACTTGCCAGCTTTTTGGCAGATGGTGAAAGTGATCAGCTTGTGTTCACTGTCACCCAGCTTCCCATCGATCACTAGGTCGCCGATTAGGTCATCCCCAGTAGCCAGTAACAGGTTGAGCAGCGCTTTGCCTCTTGTTGGCCCGTAGACTTCTTGAGTCAGGTAGAGGTCATCCACGCACAATAGGAAGCTTTGTGACTGCTCGGATTTTGCTGAGTGATCCTCCCACGAGATGTCTGGATAGTTGAAGTCTCCCATGACAACCATGGTCCTGGAGCATGCGGCCTCAGCCAGTTCCCCGGGCGAATTCCTGGTCAAGCTCTTACTTTGGGAGGGAGGTCTGTAGTAGACTCCCACCGTTGTGTCCCCTGTGCCATGTTCCCCGCGGATTTTAACCCAGAGGGTCTCCAGTCGTCCACGCTGGTTGCCAACATCGGGTTGAAGGGACGCGTAGCTTTCCTTAACATAGAGAGCTACACCCCCACCCCTTTTATCTATTCCATCTCTCCTGTACAAGGTATAGCTGTCTATACCCATGGTCCAGTCATGGGTGGAGTCCCACCAGGTCTCCGTTATTCCTATGACGTCATAATTGTTTGTGTTAAGCAGGAGGACGGGTTCCTTCTGCTTATTCCCCAAGCTCCTGGCGTATGTGTACAGACAGGCAAGTGTCCCCTTGGGGGTCCTTGCCCACAAATTGTACCAGGGCTGGGGCAGGGGTGGGCTCCCTTAAGTGCCTTGGCCTGCTGGCTTTGCAAGGGTTGCTCAGCGGGCCAGCAGTGCCGCCCCCCCCCCTGCCCCTTGGCGGGCTTAGTTTAAAGCCTGGTGGAGCAGGTCAGCCAATCTGGCTGAGAAGAGCCTCCTCCCCAGGGGAGAGAGGTAGAGGCTATCTCTTCCCTCCACCTTTCTCCCCTCCAATCTGTTTAGAACCATCCACTGAGGCCTGCCAAATCTCCACCCTTCCCCTAAGGCCTCTTCCCAAAAAGACTTCCTTTGTCCACTCCAGGCTTGTTTCTTAGGGATACAAACTTAGATACTTGGGTATAACTTGACTGGAGTTCCAGGGGCTTCCCTTAAAAAGATCCTGTCAGAGCAGGGCCTGGACTAAAAGGTCTCTTTAGATCCCTTCCAGCCCCATGTTTCTATGAATATATAAACCTGTGATTTAGAGCAGTGGTTTTCAAACTGTTCCACAGAACCCTGGGGTTCTGCTATAGTTTGCCAAAGAGATTGGGATACTGGTGGAGTAGGCCATGAGGCAGTGTGCCACCATTACTAAGCTGGGTTCCCTGGCTCCACGTTGACTGTTAGGATAGTGGCAGAGGTTCTGCGGCAGAAATGGTGTGAAAGGTTTCATGATTAGGAAGCTGGAAAACCACTGATTTGGAGCATGTTTGCATTGCCTCCATGCTGTGTCTGGGACCTCAACCGAAGCACACATCCCATCTGCTCTGTGGGGACCAAACCTTAGTTATGAGACAAAGTCGCCATCTCAGAGAGGTATAAGCATGTGTAGAAAAGTTTGCCTGAGGCTGAAGGGGCACTAGGGCCACTCTGGGCTGAATGCTCAGACCTGCTGTGAGGCAGCTGCTTTGTAGGGTCTCAGTCCTACGGTTTGGCCAGTGCTGGCACAAACAGTTCTACAGTTTGAGCAAGTGGTGGCGCTACTGGATGGTGCAGCATAGATGAGCTGCCAGGTGTCTGTCTCAACTTCCTGCCCTTCAGCTCAGGGTTTAGCTGCTTTGGCTATGCTGGTGAAAGTCCTGCTTTGTAGGGCTTTGTAGATGGTTTTCCCCCTTGCTGCAGAAGGCAGGACACGAAACAGTGGTTTTGCATTATAGCATGAAAAAGTTCCTTGCTGTTAAAAAAACAGGACTTTGGAATGAACTGCCCAGGGACCTCAGGGAAATGTTTTTCACTGGAGGCTGATGAGAGGAGTCTGGATAAGTATTGGACTGGGATGACTGAGGAGTAGCCCTCCTGCTCCCATGGAGCCAGGGGTTTGAACCAAATGACTTGTACCCTTTGAGCCCTGTGATACTATGATCTTTCATTGCTGCATAGCAAGTGATGCAGCAAGGTGGCCCCAGCTCAAGATGGGCTGTGCCCATTTTGGCAAGGAAAAGGCTAGGAAGGCCAGCTGCTAGAGGAATCTCAGTTTAAGACTGCTTGAAGCTTCCTGGCTGTAGACGGGGAGGGGTAGTCTACAGTCCTGGCAATGGACAAGATGGAACTTGAGAAGGATGTCTCCATCTTTTGGACAGGGCAAAGACCTAAGGAATAAACTGGAAGGGATGACCTTGCCCCAGGTAGGGCCCAGGAAACAGATTGGAGGGGATGATCCTGTGCATGGATCAAGGCTGTTGAAACACTTGCTGAATTTTTAACCAATTGCTTTTTGTCTCTCTACAGGACATAAAGAGCACCCTGGAAAGGTAAGGGCTTCATTTCCCTCTTTTGCTTAACCCGGCAATGCAGCAGGAGAATGCAAATGCATCCCAGTCCCCTATGTTCAGTGTGGGAGGGGAAACTGATGCCCCTCATATCCCTATAGTTTGAGACCAGGCTGGTGCTACAGAGGAGGACCAGCAGCACAGCCAGAATATGGGAATAGAGTGGTGTTACGGTTATAGCAATACAGCTGGGAGCCAGGATTCCTGGTTGCCATCCAGAGTTCTGGAGGGCAGTAAGGCCCAGAGCAAGGGGCCAAGGAGGAATCAGTCAGGACTCCTTGGTTCCTTTTCTACTTGTTTTGCTGCACCTACTTCCCTTTTTCTGCTACAGTTTCACCCTTCCTAAGCCTGGGGAAACCCTCATTCCTTGTGGTGGGTGGAGGCTTGCAAGGGAGGCCTGGGTTGTTTGTTTTTTAAATATCCCATGACAGTGGGGTTGAAGCACAGACCAGGGTTGTTCTTCTGTACACCTTCACCTCCCAAGAGGTGTCCCCATGTCTGACGTAGAGCTAAGCATGTCCACCTAATGTGAACCCTGGTAGGTGTGAATTGGTCCAAACCATGGAGCTGGCTTCAGTCCCCATCGAGCTGGAGAAGAACTTCTGCAGCTTCCCCCGGCAGTACTTCGCTCTCCGGAAGATCATTAAGAGATTGATCGGTGAGTTGGGGCACAGAGACCACTGGGAGATGGAGATCCCCTGCCCTTCCTACCCCTTTCCATCACAGTACTGGAAGTGTCCTCCGTCCTGAGGAAAGGGTCTCAGTTGCTTGGAGCTATGGCAATGGACACTACTCATTTATTACTCCTCTTTGTGGTTTCAGTGATGTTTGTTGGGAGACTGAAAGGGCTAGTGAGGGGTGCTCTGAGTCTCATGAAGCAAGACAAAAGGTTTGGGTGCATGGATAGGATGTCATTGGGAGGAGAAAAGATTTTTCAAGTGTGCAGGCTACTGGAGGAGGTAGAAGGTCTTTGTAGAGGAAAGACTGTCCTGATGGATGGTGATAGAAAGATATTACTGTCCTGAGTATTTTGCTTATGGACTTTAGGGAAAGGTGGTGCTTTGGGAGGGGCTGGAGGTTTAGGGGGCTGGAAGTGTGTTACCAGACTTTAATATTAGGCTTTAGGTAGTGGCACTGAATTCATGAATGCTTGAACAAAAATAGGCAGACAAGGTTCCTTGGGTGAATTTGATATCTTTTATTAGACCAGCCCAAATGGTTGGAGAAGTTATTAAGCAAGCTTTCGGGTTCAAAAACCCTTCGTCAGGCTCAGGAAGCTGCAGCAGTTGGTGTGGCTACAACCTAAACCCGTGAACAAAAATAGTCCATTCTCTGAAGAGAGCACTTGAGTACAGCAATTTGCAATTTCAAGTGTGCAACAAAACAGCAGAAAAGCTTTGCCTAAGCTAAGACACCACAAAATAAAACACATCAGCAGCACACAACTTAGACACAACAGAAGTTGTGCATAAGTCTTGTGTAGTTCTGAAGATAGTCTAGCCAGGCTTCTCTGGGGGATTGCAGGTCAGGTCATCTTAGCTAGTGAGTGTGGTCTACAGGCCTCATCTTTGTCTGGCTTTGTATAGGGATTTGCACCCTCTTCTCCCCCTTGGGTTCATCATGTGTCCCATGTGTCTCACACTTTTGGTGTTGCTGTCTCTTGCCTCTTCTCATGTATTCCAGTCTCTCACCCCTTACAGGTTCTACTTTGAAATATTAGTATAGCTCCCTGATTTCTTATATCGCATCAGAATGTTTAAGCAGTCTGATGCCCTCCCTGCTACCTCTGGTTACTTATGTGGCTTCAGAATCGGTTAAAGAGCCAGAGACTGTTATGACTGTGCCAGGTCTTTGCCAACAAGTGTGCTGGGAAGCAGTTCTGAGTTGGTTGCGTGGGGAAAGATCCAGAGGTGACTCCACTTGGAGAGGGAAATTAAAGGTTTCTTGGCATGGGGACAGTGTAGCTAAGCATGGACTGTTGGGTGCAAGGCTGGGAAGGGGCAACAGAGCTGGATGGATGGTAGGTGGATTGAAGTGGAGGACTTAGGGGTATAGGATTAACACTGGGGGTGATAAGGGAGCAAGCGAGGACAGAGGGCAAAAACAGCTTCTTCCCAAAGCACAGTTACCCTTCTGGAACCTGACTGCCTGGCTTCTTCCCTTGCACTTTAGGGGATGTGACCCTTGACCCTGAAACAGCCCACCCCAACCTGGTACTCTCAGAAGACCGAAAGAGCGTCAAGTTTGTGGATACCCGATTGCGGGACCTACCTGACACCCCACGGCGCTTCACCATCTACCCCTGTGTCCTGGCAGCTGAAGGCTTCACCTCAGGCCGCCACTACTGGGAGGTGGAGGTGGGTGACAAAACCCACTGGGCTCTGGGTGTGTGCAAAGACTCGGTGAGCCGCAAGGGTGAGCTGACGCCCCTGCCAGAGACAGGCTATTGGCGTGTGCGGCTGTGGAATGGGGACAAGTATGCAGCCACCACCACCCCCTTTACCCCACTGTACCTGCGTGTCAAGCCAAAGCGGATCGGCGTTTTCCTGGACTATGAGGCTGGGAAGGTCTCCTTTTACAATGTCACTGACCGCTCCCACATCTACACCTTTACTGACACTTTCACTGAGAAGATCTGGCCCCTCTTCTATCCAGGCATCCGTGCGGGGCGCAAGAATGCAGCTCCCCTCATCATCCGGTCTCCCACAGACTGGGAGTGATGGGACGTAGGGCTCCTGGGGCAGGCACATCAGCTTGCTGGACTACCAACGGCAGGGTGTGGGTTGTACCAGTCTATATGGACTTGTGGAGGGGGAATCATGCCACCCCTCCCTCCACCCCATCAGATGTGGTGGAGATGCGTATTGAGCCCAACCCTGCAAACTAGGAGCCTTGGGTTGCTGTGGCCCTCCATGGATTGGCAATCACCCCGAGAGTTTGGATCTTGTTTCTCCCATTCACTGGGCCTTGGATGGGGGTATAGTGCTGACTGCCTTCCAAGAGGCCCTGCAGGTTACCATGGACTGGGGAATGCTGGTAAGGAGCCAGAATGGATCACAGACTCCCTTTTGTCCTATAAATAATGTATGGGGCAGGGGGAGGGAGGGTGAAATCCCACAGTTCTCCTCCTCCAGACCCTCCTCCCCAGGTGGGCTTTTCTGAGCTGACAGGAAGTCTTGGCCCAAACACATGGGATAGATCAATTTTGGGCTTCCTCTGGGCCAGGTGTGAGCAGAGCCAGGGATTATATCCTGCACAAGCTGTCTGGGACACCGAGGAAAAAAGAAACTCCAGACTCTCCTTTTCCTCCTCTTGATTATCCATTGAGACCCATTATCCCTGCAGCAATGCTGGCAGACCACAAAGATTAACCATCTAGTCTTCTGCCACACCTCCCTGCCAGACCTGAGAACAGAACCAACAGTCCTGTCTCTCTTCAGTTTGGTACAACCACTAGGTGGTCCTGCCTCCAGGTGGGGAATAGGTTGTGGCCCTCAGGGGCCAAAAGACTCTTTCTGTCCAGAACACAAGAAAGAGGTGGCAGACTTCGAAAGGACTTACCCAGAGCTGTTCTAATGCAACACAATTTTTATGAGATCCAGATGGAAACAGGAGCCAAAATATTAGGTGTTCTACATACACACCCATACTCTCATACTATTTTTTACTACATTTTTTCTGTGCATTCTTACGCTGTTCTTGACACCTGTTTCTGCTTCGACAAAGTTTGCAAGTGCTTGCTTTGCCTTCCAGTGATCTCAGTTGCTATGCAGTCCCTGGCAGTAATGGACACTAGCAATTGTTATGGTTATAGGCAGAGATATGGAAGCCCATTATAATCCTGTGTTGTCTGTAAGAGGCCTTGTTTGGTGCCATTCCTCCCCACTAATATTATCCCTAGCAGCATATTCTGTGAGGGATTTAACCCTGGTAGTGGAAGATCTGATGTCCCATCTTGTCCCTTTTAGCCAGGGTGGCCTTATTGGAGGAGGAGAAAGCAATGCATTGTGGAACCTTGAAGGACTTTCTAGCAACCCCTCATTTTCCCTGGGCAGCATTTCTCTCATGGAGGAATTATGGGGTAGTCCCAAGGGAACTGTGGGATTGGGCAGGACAATGGGAGCCTTGAGAGTTTTCTTCTCCCATTTTAAGCTGTTTGCAATTCTCTGGGTTATGGAAACTACCAGGAGCTCTGGAATGCTTATGTAACACTCTTCCTCTGGAGCTTTTTAAAGAGGAGAGGGGACCATGGGATGAAAATAAAACAATGCAGGAACAGCACAGATGCTGTCTCCACAAGTTCATGCAATGGTGGGGAAAGGACCACCCACAGGGAACAGACAATTTGAGCGTATGGGGAGTACCCCGTAACTCTGTTGGATTCAGGCCCCCTGTTTAATCGGTGAACCCAAGAGTAAGTGGCCATGCAGACCCTGAACCCAATCCTTCCCAACTCTTCACAGCTGTGTCCCCAGTAAGTTCCCTACCCCATTCCACTGTCACAGCTGATTCTTGATTATTAGCATCTGTGCACTCAAGGGTTGTACTGGGGAAGTTTGCCTCTTATCAGACCCAGAGTGGAGTTACCAGAAGACCAGAGTTAGAGTTAAAACAACATCCTTCAGGCCTGCAACAGAGTCCAGTATCTGAGGTGACAGAAGAGCTGGGGGTGGCAGTCCATCTTGCCAGACAAGAAAATAAGTCAGATATGCTTGGAGCTGGGAGGCTTCTCCCCCCCCCCCCCCCCCCCCCCCGCCCCCCATAGGGGTGCAGGCAGAGGTTTTGAGAGATGGTTCAGCTCCCTCAGCCACACCCCACCCATGGGAGCTGGCTTTTGTTATCCACCACACCCCCAGGGGAGAGGGGGGCAAGCTTAGGATAAAAGTGCCTTCTGGGCCCAATCCCAGTCCACTGGATAGGGCCAGAAAGATGAACCCCTGGTCATGTGAAGTTTGGAAATCTAGTTGGTGTTTGGCCAGCACTCTACCCAGTCCACTCCAGACCAGATGAAATTGCTCTTTTCTTCAAGAGCATGTTACCAGTAGCAGATGGTGACCCAAAACAGCTATTCTTTCAGTAAAAACCATGCATCAGATGCTATTCAACCCACTGGGCACCTTTAAACGCAATCCTACCTAACCCTAAAACTGAATTAATGCACCTACTTCTGTTATGTGCCTTTAACTTAACTTTATGCCTAAGTCACAGAAATATGTGAGAATGCTTAGCTGCCTAATAAGGGGCCAGGATCTAGCCTTTTGTATCTATACTTGAACCACTTCACCAACATGGGAATACCAGCAAAGCATTCCTAGGGGAAGTGTAGCTGTAACTGGCTGAACTTTGCTTTGTAATGAAACGCATATGGCAAAAGCAGCTCTTGCAGCGAACACGTGGTTTGGCAGTGTGATTTAATCATAGATTCTAGGGTCGGAAGAGACCTCAGTGGGCCATTTAGTCCGACCCCCTGCCCCTGGCAGGCAAGAAAAGGGTCACCAAACCTGGGATCATGTGCTCCCAGCCAGGTGCCTGTCCAGTCTCCTCTTGAAGACTCCCAAGGATGGGGCGAGCACCACCTCCCTTGGAAGCCCATTCCAGATCCTGGCAACCCTGACTGTGAAGACCTTTTTTCTAATGTCCAGTCTAAACCTTCTCTCCAGTAGCTTATGGCCATTGTTCCTTGTTGTTCCAGGGGATGTCCTGGTAAACAGATCATCGCCTAATTCATGTTGCTTTCCCCTGATTAATTTGTACGCTGCCACAAGGTCCCCTCTCAGCCTTCTCTTGGAGAGGTTGAAGAGGTTAAGGTTCCTTAGCCTGTCCTCGTAGGGCCTTCCCTGTAGGCCTCCAATCAGACGAGTGGCTCTTCTTTGGACCCTCTCCAGGTTGTCCGCATCCCGCTTGAACTGCAGCATCCAGAACTGGACACGGTACTCTCTACGCGGCACTAGTCAGGCCGCAGCTGGAGGGAGAATCACCTCCCTGGACCTGTTTGTGAAGCACCTACGGATGCACAACAAGGTGCGATTGGCTCTGCCAACTACTTCATCACATTGACGACTCATGTTCATCCTGGAGTCATCTTCACTAGGGACTTGAGATTGCACCTCTCCACTCCTGATCTACACAGCTGGTATCAGGGTTGCTAAAACATACGTTCTAATCCATATGCCAGTTACTGGGCTCCAAGCCAGATGTTAGGTAAAGTTCATTTTCCGGTAGTAGCTAGAGTAGAGATCAAGGCCAGATTCAACGTGCTGCTCCTGTAACAGTCTGTGCCCCAACTGCTTCCAATATCAATAGACAAGATAAAGGGTGAGAGAGCAATCATGAAAAGAGAACAAGCCAGGAGTCACTCAACATAGCATAGACAGAGCTGGGAATAGAATTCAGGTGCTGGGAATTCCAGGGAGTCATGTCTGCTAGGTGGTACCACCTCTTAAACCAGGACCGTCTGCCCTCCAGGCACTCTACAGAAAACTGTCCTTCATCTAAAGCAGTGGTTCTCAACCTTTTTTGTACCAGGACCCATTTGCGAAGATCGATGGTTTGTTCTGACCTGCACCCCCAGCTGCCTCTGTCCTGCTTGGGCCAGAGGGTGAGCAGTGAGTGCTGCCCCCATCCCATCCCATCCCATCCCATCCCATCCCCACCAACAGTGAGTGCAGGCCTCTGCATGTATGGGCAGCAGCCCCTTGCTGCTAGCCTAGTCACACTGCTCCCCACCACGAACACCGCAGTGCCATGCGTGGCTGGCACATATGTGCGCACATGCATGCACACCCCTGCCCTCCCCCAGCCCTCCAGACTGTCCCCTGGACTTCCATCCCCTGCTCCCCTTACACTTAGCTGTGTACAGTGGGTGGGGCTGCTCCCACGATTTGGCCTCGCTGTATACCGGCCATGCATCTGCGTGTGCAGATGCACGTGTGCCCACTGCCTCCAATTGTTCCATGCATCCACTTGCAGACTAGAAAGCTGCCAGCCTTCAGGGGAAACCTGCACTTTCACAGTTTTTTTCTGGGACTTCCTCATGACCCTTCCAGATATTCTTGCAATCCATTTTTGGGTCGCAACCCACTGGTTGAGAAATGCTGATCTAAAGAACATGCAGCAGGAGAGGTGAAGGCAGCCATCACTAGTACAGCAGAGTAACAGCAGCACTGCAGAGTACTTGCCCACTGAGGGCTGAAATGCAGCCACCTCTAGAGTGGGACATGGCAACTCCTTTCAGTGTTGATAGACCAGGTCTCATTTCAGGAATGGGGATTTTTACAACAGCCAGGGTGCCTGTGTTTGTATCTTCTGTTCCTTCAAGGAGTGGGGAGGATAAGTGGTCCCTGTTCGTATGTGAGAGAGGTGTGTGTAGCAAGCAAACCAGAGACTCAAGCTTAGAGCATTGAATTCTCCTTGAACATGCCTCTTCCAGGAAAAAACAGCAACTAGAGAGCCTAGGCTGGGTGGGGGACTTTGCTGGCTTGTGGCAGCAGGGAATGGGATATAGACTCTTT